AAGGATCTTTTTACAACCATCACTTACATGAACACATAAACTAATATTTTATTAATTTGATCACACGTTTGGTCTTAAATCTAATTTTAAGTGGAAGTAAAATCTCTTAAATTGAATTTGTTTATAGCTGTTGACTTCCTGGACGATCACTCAGATTGGTTTAAATAAATCCCTAAAATCACACAAATTATTTCATGTTAATTAAACCAGACAAAGTCAACAACTTACCACGCTGTGTATAACACAGTATTTATTATACTGCAATAAAAAGTAATATAAGATCATTGTTCCAGTTTTGTTCTTTTATTACGTAAATAATGTGTTGAATTAATTTACAGTGAAGAGAATCTGGAATATTCAAATAGACACAAGCTGCAGGGAACACAGCTGCTCTGCCCTCTGCTGGTTCAAACCTGCAAATACTTTATATACAGTCTATGGTCTGAACCAGGGATATTATAGTTAACGAAAACTAAAACTAGCAATGAAAAAATAATTTAGGTAACTAAAATAAAAATGACAATTACAAACAAAACTAAAACTAAATAAAAACTACAATGAACAATGCAAAACTAACTAAAACTAAACTGCAGATAAATTCTGCTTCGTTTTCGTTTTCTCCCTCGATTACTTCCTGTCCTGCAGGTGATGGTTAAAGAATGAAATTAAAGGACTTGATAAAACATATTTGGTTTCACACATTGTTTCATCCTTTTTCAGCTTCTACAAGTCGAAGCTTTCTCTTAATACCTGGAAAAACTAAAACTAAATAAAAACTAAACTGAAATAAAAAAGCAAACTGAAAAACTAAATCAAAATAAAAACTAATGAAAATTTCAAAACGATAATAACCTTGGTCTGAACGAGAGGCCGTGTGCATTTCTGAGGGCTGGATCGATGCACACGTATGTTGTTGTATGTACGTCTTGACACATGATGTAACTGAGGTTAACGAAGCTGCAGCAAACAAAAAGGGCAAAGGTATTTCTGATAATGATGATGATGATGTCATCTTCGGTTTGTTAGAGTCTGTGAACACTGTTTAATCAGGCTGGTCAGAATGATGATTGACAGCTGCTGTGGTCCGACAGGGAGCCGAGGAAAGTGGTGCTGCACCGCGGAGCGACGGGCCTGGGCTTCAACATCGTGGGCGGAGAGGACGGAGAGGGGATCTTCATCTCCTTCATCCTCGCAGGAGGACCAGCCGACCTCTGTGGAGAGCTGAGGAAGGGAGACAGACTTGTCTCAGTACGTCCACGCACGCACACGCGCACACACGCACACACACACGCACACACACACACACACACACACACACACACACACACACACACACACACGCACACACACACACACACGTACGTGTCTATACATATCTCTGTTGTTTTTTTATGGTGCGTCCAGGTGAACGGAGTGGACCTCCGTAACGCCACCCACGAACAGGCCGCTGCCGCCCTGAAGAACGCAGGACAGACGGTGACCATCATCGCCCACTACAGACCAGAGGGTGAGACTGCTTCACACCCGACGCAGTATATTTACACGCTACACACATTTTACATGTGTGTATCTGTTTATAAACCGTATGAAGATGATTCATGAAGAATTATTCAGCTAAATGTTGAGAGGAGTTTGGTGGATGAGCAGTGAGTTGGTTTGTTGTTCAGAGTACAGTCGCTTTGAGGCAAAGATCCACGACCTGCGGGAGCAGATGATGAACAGCAGCATCAGTTCTGGATCTGGATCTTTGCGGACAAGTCAGAAGAGGTCGCTGTACGTCAGGTGAGAGCTCCGCCCCTGTGGCCGACGGTAACAGATCCTGACTCGTGTGTGGAATATTTACATGTTTTCATAGGAAACAGAATGTTTGTGCTTGTGTTGTCAAGATACTCACCGATGTTTGTAAACAAGTCAACTAATATAATAATAACATAATGATTGAATTATATCAAATATTTAAATTCATTTAAAGTTATTAAAGATTTTTCACTGAGCTGAACAAGATACTTTTAAATGACCACGTTCTGTTTTAAGTGATGTTTTGATGTTTCCGTCTCTGAGCTGTGGTTTGTTTGAACGTGACGATCGTTGATAAAACCTGTTTGTGCTGCAGAGCTCTGTTTGACTACGATAAGACCCGAGACTCCGGTCTGCCCAGTCAGGGACTCAACTTTAAGTTTGGAGACATCCTTCACGTGGTGAACGCCTCCGACGACGAGTGGTGGCAGGCCAGACAGCTGACGGCACAGGGGGAGGTGGAGGAGGTGGGAGTCATCCCCAGTAAAAGACGGTCAGTTCACATTGTTATTATTATTGTTATTATTATTATCATTATTATTGTTATTGTTATTGGTTCTGCGATGGAACCCAGCCGGTGACCTCTGCTGACCTTTGACCTGTTCTCCTCTCCGCCCACAGGGTTGATAAGAAGGAGCGAGCGAGACTAAAGACGGTGAAGTTCAACGCCAAGTCTCGAGAGCGAGGGGTGAGTGTGATGCCAGTGACGGACGGTCGCTGTTGATCACCTGATGTTTTAGCTTGAACTTCCTGTTTGTAGTTCGTATGTTGAATATCACACGTGTGACGGTGACTTGTGTTCGAGCCGCTGCCACCTGATCTCCACCTACTAATCAGTTTGACTAATGTTAAAAAGCAGCTGACCAGTTAACAGCATGTTGTCGTCGACCTGTGAGACGTGTTCTCTTCACCACGGCAACCCCCCCCCCCCCCCCAGCACCTTTAAAAACCGCGTGCCACTTTAACACGCGTCGCCTGAATGCCTCTCCCAGTGCCGCCAAACCCGCCCTCTAACACCAGTCTGAACCCGGGGGGGTGGGGGGGCAGGAAGAAACATGCATGACAACCCCCCCCCCCAAAAAAAAATATACAGAGAGGAACGCTTGACATTGATGTTTGACTGTCTGCTGCCCCCTAGTGGCTGCTCGGAGATCCTCCCCTCCTTCTTCCCCCTCACCACTCACCCCTCTCATCCTCTCTCTCTCTCTCTCTCTCTCTCTCTCTCCTGCTGGATAACGCCTGAGTGAAGCATAGAGACATTACTGAAAGCATCACTAAACAATCACATGACGACGTGCAGCGAGTGTCACATGACGACATGTAGCGAGTGTCACATGACGACGTGCAGCGAGTGTCACATGACGACGTGCACTCCGGGCTCCTGCTGCTCTTCCTGAAGGTGTTCTGCCCCCTAGTGGCCAAACGACTGATTAGTGCAGCTTTAAGTCTCCAGGACGAGTGAAGCTTTAACACGACTCATCATATTAGTGATGATAAAAATCTGTCTGGACTGAATCAGTGAAAACATCATGTGACGAGAATCGACCCAGAGTCATTTACTGGAGCTTTCACTGGACGCCTCACCGGCCAACGATCAGGTGACCATCCTCCGCTCTGTCGGGGTTTGGTGTTTGATTCCATCTGATCTGAAACAAGCTTCTCTTGTCGCCGTGTGTCTCTGCATGTCGCCTGCATGTCCTCTCCTCCTGCTTCCTGTTTAACGACTGCTGCCTTCACTGTCACTGCGTAACATTCGGCCTTTCAGCAGCGACAGGGACTTTCAGTTCGGTCTGTGTCAACGTTCACATGTAGCTGCTTCAGTCTGATTCTGTGGCTTCAGTCGACGTTAAGAGGGAAACTGTTCACATGAGGAACCTCAGGTTTTATTTTATGTTCTGATGAACCAAGAGTTTAATCAAAGAATCAGAAATGTGGCCTGAACGTATTGTTCGTAAACTAGAGATTAGAAATCACTTCTGTCCTCGAGGCTTTGTTGTCTTTAATTTCGCTGCCGTCCAGAAAGATTGTCCCCTGTGGTCAGGCTGAGTTAACTCTGACAGTTTAACTCCGGATATTTAAAGGTTCAGTGCGTAAGATTCAGGTGAAAGGATCTGTTGTAAAATAATCCCAGTGACGTTTTTACTTGTTTCATCTAAACTGAACAAATAGATGTTTTATTTACCTGAGAA